GAAAAGCCACGGATCGTGGCAAGCTCACTATACGTGCTACCGGTTGATACAGGATGCACGCGCGACGAGCCGGCAGCGCCCTCTGACGCAGTTTTTTCGAGTGGCCCCTTCTGAGGCTCCAGTGTAAGGTCGCTGCAGCCGGGAACATCCCGCTGCCTTCGCCGCCAGCCTCCGGTTCCTGCTCCCGCCAGTTTTTCTCCTGTCGGGATCCTGCAACGGGTGCGTGTGCCCTGGGGTGGGTGTGAGCACGGTCCGTTGGCGCACCGAACCGCTCAGGACAAATGCCCCCGGCTGCCGGGAGCCCCCGATGGTTGCCGATAGCTGAGGCATGCGGGGGGCATTGGTTTTGGCCAGTTCGGTGCAACGGCCGATCGCAGGCTTACCCCGCCCTTCCGGAACCCCCCCCCGTGGTGAATCCCGATCTTGCCTTGCCCCCTCCCTCCTCCAGCAGGAGGGCGAGGGAGGAGGAGGAGGAGGAGAGGAGGAGGAGGAGGAGGAGGAGGAGGAGGAGGAAGGAGGAGGAGGAGGAGGAGGATGAGGAGGAGGAGGGGGGAGGAAGAGGAGGTGGAGGAGGGAGGAGGGGGAGGTGGAGGAGGAAGGAGGAGGAAGAGTGGGAGGAGGAGGGGGCTCCACCGCCTGAGGAGGAGAGAAGTGCTCCCCGTGGTCCGTGCGACCCTTCCTGGTGTGGGCGGGGCGGCAGGTCCCAGGTGGTGATGCGGCGGGCTTCGGCCCCCGAGCCTTCCCCCCCCCTACCTCGACTCAAGGGAGCTGCCAACGGGGGCTCTCGGGAACGGTTCAAACGGCCCCGACGCCGACGACGCCGACGCCGACGGCGCCGACGTCGAGGACGACGCAGACGGCGATCTCGACGCCGACGAGACCGACACCGACGCCGACGACGACGACGCCGACGACGCCGGCGCCGACGCCGCAGCCTGGCCTGAGGCGTCCGCGCGCGATGTGCGCCGGGTCCCATTCCTGCCACGCATTTCGCATCTTCGACGACTGGACAGGCCATGGGGAGAGGGAAAACGAAGACTTTGTATTGTTTTTAACAGTAAGGATGGGCGGGTCCGGGTTGACGGCCGCGCGCGATGTGCGCCGCGTCCTGTTCCTGCCACGCATTTCGTATCGTCGACGACAAGAAAGGCCATGTTGAGAGGAAAAATTGTCACTTTGTATTGATGTTTTTCAGTCCGGATGGTAGGGCTCGGATTGGCTGGCTATCGGCCGGAAAACGAAGTAGGTAAGGGTATATTCTAATAAGATCTACTAAGTAATAAGGATGTGTCCGCTCGAGCGGCCTGCGCTTTCTGTGGCCGCAGCTCGTCGGGAGGTGTCTTGTGCGCGCCGGACCCCTCGTGCAGAGAGCGGGCGGCGAGCCCCGCGGCGCGTCAGGCGGGACGGGCGTGGAGGCGACAGGCGTTCAGGCCCGGGCACTGTTGCCTCTGCGACACGCCTGTCGGGGGCCTCAAGACGGTGTGGTGATCCCACCGTCGGGTGAGACGGACTTCTCATAGACTTTTCGTCGTTTTCGGTTTCTCGTCGTTTTCGGCGTCTGGAGGCCGTGCGCGGCCCCACAAGGCTCGCAAGACCGACACGGAGTGAAAACCTTGTGCGGATGGACACCGTCAGGGGTCTGGGGCTTTCTTTCGAACCGATTTTGGTCGGAGCGGGGACTTGGGGTGAGCGCACGGATTTGAGACTGGGGCCGTTCTCCGAGGACGCCTCGGGTGCCTGCGGCCTCCGAGGTCCCAAAACCGTGCGGTGATGGACCGCGCGGTGAGGTCTTAAAGGTTTCGACGTCGCCGCACGGTCTGTCACCACCAGCACCATCATTTCGGGGGGAAGAGAAGCGGCACCACCACCACCACCACCAGGGGGGCAACCTCCAGCGAGGAGGTCCACGATGCCTCCCCGAGCTGGGGATGGGGGATGTCTCGAGCGAGAGGGGGGACCACACCACCAGGGGGGCCCCCCTTGGCTCCTCGCGCTGGTGGTCCCTGGTGGTGGTGGTGTCGGTTTCCTCTGTTCCTACACACCGTTTTGGGATCACCAAGGTTGGATGTGTGGTGGTTCTCTCTGCGCCCACTGCGCAAGCCGCACGTGCGGTGGCGCGCTGGCGTCGGCAGGCGGCCGGCTTCTGTGTGATGGCGTCCTTGCATGGCGACGCGCGCCCAGATCAGAATCGCCTTTTTTCAACCACGCACTTTTCAAGGCTGCTCCGATGAAAGGGTCAGTCGGCAGCAGGCAGGGTCAGGCGTTGGCTGTCGCCCATCAGGTGTTGCAGGCACTGCACCCTTCTCTCCTCTTCTGCTCGCTTTCCTTGGGATAGGCTTCCATCTCGTGGGGTTTTTGGAAAAGGCGGGACGAGGCGAAGAGTGGCGACAGTTGCACATGTGGCAGCCCCAGGGCGACGACGACGCCGACGGCGACGACGACGACGGCGACGACGACGACAACGACAACGACCATGCTGATGACGATGATGACGATGACGACGACGACGGCGGGGCGGCCGACCAACCGGAAAATTCGAACTTTCCGGTCGGTCGTCCGCCCGGCCGTCGACCGTGATAATGACGATGATGACGATGACGACGATGACGGCGGGGCGGCCGACTAAGCGGAAAATTTGAACTTTCCGGTCGGTCGTCCGCCCGGCCGTCGACCATGATGACGATAATGATGATGACGACGACGACGGCGGGCGGCCGACTAACCGGCTAGATCGAATTTTTTGGTCGGTCGTCCGCCCGGGTGTCGACCATGATGATGACGATGATGACGATGACGACGACGACGTCGGGGCGGCCGACCAACCGGGAAGTTCGAACATTCCGATCGGTCGTCCGCCCGGCCGTCGAACATGATGATGACGATGATGACGATGATGACGATGACGACGACGACGGCTGGGAGGCCGACCGACCGGAAAGTTCGATTTTTCCCGTCGGTCGTCCGCCCGGGCGTCGACCATGATGACGATGATGACGATGACGACGACGACGGCGGGGCTGATATATGCCCCCCTCCCAACCGTCTAGTGGTAGATTTGCCTCCCCATCCGTCCTGTGGTATATTCCCCCCCTTCCAACTGTCTAGTGGGACATTTGATCTCCCCAAGCCCCCCGACCGTCTAGTGGTATATTTGTCCCCCCCCCCGCCGTCTAGTGGTATATGTGCCCCTCCAACCGTCTAGTGGTTTATGTGCTCCCTCATGGTCGTGCTCTGGGGGGAGAAAAAGAAAAACGCTCTATAGCTCTCAGCTTTTTTGCCCTATAGCCTTATAGCTCTATAACCCTATAGTTCTGTAGCCCGGCGGTATCCAACCGTCTAGTGGTATATTTGCCCCTCCCCAAGCCTCCCAGCCGTCTAGTGGTATATTTGCTCCTCCCCTCGAATCGTCTAGTGGTATATTTGGCCTTTCAACCGTCTAGTCGTATATTTGCGGTCCGAGCTTGCTGCACGGTGAACCAGCAAATATCAGCAGGGGTGGCAGTTCCCATAACCCCTTTGGAAAAAAAACACCCCCTAGACCACCCTAACCCACCCTAACCCAGCTTAACCCGCCTTAACCAGGAGAGGTTTTCTGTGCAAAAAACACCCTCTAACCCTCTCTAACCCACCCTAACGCGCCCTAGCCCACCCTCAGGGTGGGTTAGGGGGTGTTGGGAAGGGTTTTCTGAGCAAAAACACTTCCGAACCCACCCTGACCCACCCTGGCCCACCCCAGCCCACCCTAACCCACCCTCAGGGTGGGTTCGGGGGTATTCGGAGCGGTTTTCTGGGCAAAAAAGCACACCCTAAGGGGGTGTTAGGAGAGGTTTTCTGGGGAAGCAAGCACCCCCGAACCCAACCCAACCCATCCTAACCCATCCTAACCCTGAGTGTGGGCTAGTGGGTGTTAGGAAGGGTGTGCTTGGCAAAAACGCACCCTAACCCACCTTAACCCGCCCTAACCCACCCTCAGGGTGGGTTAGGGGGTGTTGGGAAGGGTTGTCATGGCAAAACCACTCCCTAACTTACCCTAACCCATCCTAGCCCATCCTAACCCGCCGCAGGGTTGGTTAGGGGGTGTTCGGAGGGGGTTTCTTGGCAAAAGCACACCCTGACCCACCCTAGCCCCCTCGAACCCACCCTCACCCACCCCCGAGGTTGGTTAGGGGGTGTTAGGAAATGTTTTCTTGGCAAAAACACACCCTAACCTATCATAACCCACCCGAACCCGCGCACTACGAATACACCTGCCTCTCCCAGACCCCCCCGTCGTGAGTATGGTCTCGCAGTGCGCATCCCCGCGGTTGCCAGGACCATCCTGTCATCTTGATTTGTCTTCTGCCTGCTTCTTCTGCTCTGTATGTTGCTCCTCCTCCTTCTTCCCCTCCTTCTCCTCTGTTCCTATTCCTCCTGTCATCGCTTCTCTTCGTTTTCGTCTCCTTCTCGTCCTCCTCTTCCTTTTCTCGACTTCCTCTCATCCCTACTTCTCTTTGTCGTTGTCGCGGCGGCCTTGTCAGGTTTCCTCGTGCAAACGGCTGGGCGCAGCTCGAAGATGCGCCGAGCGGATTTGCGCGGGAGGTCATCTGGCCAACCGGCAGGTGTAGGGTATAAACAGCTAGGTGCTTCTTCGCGCCCGCCGACAGGTGTAGGGTATAAACAGCTAGGTGCATCTTCGCGCCCGGGGAGGGGCCACACTTTGTTGCCCTCTGCTCCTCCCAGCACCACCTATCCCACATCGTGGGATGGTATATTCCGAATTCCTGTAAGATTGGAAAAGCGTCCCGACAGGAACCGGCAGGTGTCGTCGTCGTCGTCGTCGTCGTCGTCCCAATCGGCCCTGTCTTGACATATACAGGAGTATGCATTTTTAGGCACGTTCCATGGGAATATTTGTAATTATGGATATCAATGCAGTTTCCCGTATAATTCTAGGTAAGGGCACAACGGGTCCCGTGGGCCACGGGGTTTGAATATATCTGAATACATGTCTGTTCGTATGTGTGTGTTTTTGTGCGTACAGATCTGCTCTCCTTTCTTCCACAGAGCTGTCGGGCAAAGTAGCTGCGCACGGCGTCCCCATGCAGAGTGACACACAATGCCGTGGTAGTTCTCCTGACTTCGTCGGTGGCTCAAGTCGGAGCGCGGGGCGCTCGGCACTTGTGACCGTGACCCTTGAGAGGCGCCCTCATGGCCTTGCCTGGTTCGTCGTTGCAGGAATACAACAGCGAGCCTGTACATTGGTTCGATAGCCTCCGCCAGCAGCGCGAACAGCTCATCCAGCAGATCCAGAGGGAAGAGGAGAGCAAGTGCGAAATCCAGAAGCAGGTCAGTATCCTGACCGACGCGCTGCGCAAGATGAGCGAAGGTCTCGCGCGGAAGAAGCAGGTGCGCAGTGAGTACGATAAAACAATCCAAAAGACTGAGGCGGCTTACATGCAGATCCTTGGTTCTTCGGAGACCTTGCCGTGCGCGACGCAGAGCAAGACCGCCAGCCTCGCACGGGTCGACGTTGAAGGGGTGATGGCGGGCGAACCGCCCCGAAAACGCCGTTGCGCCGTCGACCCGGGAGTGGCCAGGGTCAACCAGATGCTGTGGGAGTCTGGTCCAGTCGCTCAGGAATTGCCTTGCCTGTTCATTCTCACCGTTTGTGTCTGGAGTCTTCACGTCCCTTGCTCTCGCCCCTCCCGCTTTCGTCGTGCCCCTCCGCTCTCCGGTGCCGTTCGCCCGCCCCCCTCCCTCCCCTCCTGCCTCTGCGACCAGTTGCCTGCGCTGGCACGACGCCGTCCCCTTTCACAATAAAACAGTTGGGCGAATAAATGTAGTTCAAGTCTTAATGGGAGTCCCCGAGGAGATGTTGGAGAGAGAGGCCGCTCACGCCGGATTGCCCATTGACGCGCTCTTTTACACAGGGTCGGGGTGAGCCACTTGGCCTAGAGTATGCATACAAGCAGCACGCAGCGGGCTGAATTGCATGTTTTCTTCGAAGTAGCGATTACCTCTGCAGGGGTCAGTGCGGGCTCACATGTCTACGCTAGGTGGGCCGCCGTTAACGGCCGCGGTCCGAGCTGCCTGGGTGCTCGTGCCCGGGTGCCCGGGCTCTTCTGTCGATGGCGGTCTTTTCAGTAGAGCTGCGACGTCGCCCATTCACTCGCCGCCCGGTCAGAAGAGCAGCGGCGGCAAGCGGCGAGAAGAGCCGCTCAGCGAAGGGTGCTTCAGAGCGTTAGCAGCGGCAGCGTCGAGAAGTACCGATGAAAAATCCCGCGGTGTTGATCTGTCTGCTTCCATCATATGACGCCCGCGCGAGGGATTCCGTGGTTTCAGGGTTGAAGGGGGCGGTCTTCCGGGTGGCCGTCGAGGAAGAAGTCGCGGGTTCGGCTTCGCGGGTCAGCCCCTCTTTCCACAGCGAAAGCATCAGACTGCATTGGGGAAGACCAGCGCAGGCCAGCTAGTCCCGACCAGCTTGATGAGAGGGTGAGGGGCGGCGTAGAAGTAGACGGGAGGGTCCCCCGCTGACAATGTAGGTGTAAGTCCCCAGTTCGCGTCGGGTTTGCGGGCGAGGCGAAAACGCTTGCGCTGATCAAAAAGGGTTCCCGCTCGTGGTAGGGTCGGTCAGAGCCGAGGACCCGTTCGCCCCCGCTCCCGGGGGTCCAGCGGCCGCGCGGAGACATTGCCACAATTGGCGCCCTGGGGTCGTTTTGAATTGTCACGGGGTTCTCGTCTTTTTCTCGGGAGCGGACACAAACGAAACAGGATGATCGCAATCTCCAGTGGGGACCTCCGATCGTTCGTGTTTGCCGGAAAGGAGGGGGAGGGGAGGGAGGGTGGAAAGGCTGTCGGGCGGCGGCGGTGGCAACGGTCAATCGTCGCTCGGCGGTGGGTCGGTGAACGCCCCTCGGTGAGTCAGCGCTCCGCGGTCTGTCGGTAGCCTGCGGTCTGCTGCAGACAAAGCTTTAGTGCGGCGTTCATCGTTCTGCATCGTGCCCGGGATCATATCCTTGGGGGTGCGTCCTGTCGCGTGTTCGGCTTCGCGGGCCAGCCCCTCTTTCCACAGCGAAAGCTTCAGCTTACGTTGGGGAAGACCATAGCAGGCCAGCTAGCCCCATTCAGCTTGATGCGAGGGTGCGGGGCGGCGTAGAAGTAGACGGGAGGGTCCCCCGCTGACAATGTAGGTGTAGGTCCCCAGTTCGCGTCGGGTTTGCGGGCGAGGCGACGACGCCTGCGTTGGCGAAAAAGGGTTCCCGCTCGTGATAGGGTCGGTCAGAGCCGATGGCCCGTTCGGCCCCGCTCTCGGGGGCCCAGCGGCCGCGCGGATACCCGGCCGCGAGTGGCGCCCAGGGGTCGTTTTGCATTGTCACGAGGTTGTCGTCTTTTTCTTGGGAGCGAACACAAACGAAACAGGATGATCGCAATCTCCAGGGGAGATCTCCGATTCTTCGGGTTTGCCGGGAAAAAGGGGGGGAGGGAGGGTGGAAAGGCTGTCGGCCGGCGGCGGTGGCAACGGTCGATCGTCGCTCGGCGGTGTGTCGGTGAACGCCTCTCGGTGAGTCAGCGCTCCGCGGTCTGTCGGTAGCCTGCGGTCTGGAGCAGACTGTTGGTGAAGATGAGAATGATGATGATGACGATGATGACGATCATGGGGATGATGTGGATGGTGATGCGGGTGATGGTGATTACGACGACAGTGGTGATGGTGCTGATGGGGATGGTGGTGTTGATCATGGTGATGATGATCATCATGATGATGAGGATGATGATGATGGTGAAGACGCCCACCATCAACCACCCATCCTCCACCATCCTACCACGCGCCCATTCACACACCACCCACCTCCCACCCACCACCCACCCACCACCCACCCACCATCCACCCACCACCCACCCACCACCCACTCACAACCCACCCACCACTCAGTGACTCAGCCACCACACACCACGACGACGCGCTGCGAGGGGAGGCGCTTCATGTAGAGCAACGCGCCCTCTCCATCCTTGTAATTGCTGCAGATTGCAAGCTTTGGGATCATGATTTGCGTGGAGCTCCCATGAAAAAGCCCGGACCGCCCGAACGGAATGATGTTGATGATGATGATGATGACGACCATGGTGATGATGTCAGTGGTGATGCTGGCAATGGTGATTACGACGGCAGTGGTCATGGTGTTAATGGTTATGGTGGTGTTGATGATGGTGATGATGGTCATGATGATGATGATGATGATCATGGTGAAGACGCCCACCACCAACCACCCACCCACCACCCACCCACCACTCATCCATTCACACACCACCCACCGCCCACTCACCACTCACCCACCACCCACCCACCCACCACCCACCCTCCATTCACCCACCACCCACCCACAACGTACCCACCACTCAGCCACCACACACCACGACGACGCGGCGCGAAGCCGGGGGGGGTCCCCGTTGAGCCGCAGCTTTCGGGGTTCAAGCTGTTGCCGTCGGCTCCAGTAGTGTGGACCGACGGGGAGAGCGCAGCCCGCTTCCAGAGCTTTCCGGAATGACAACGGCAGCTGCCAACGGGCTCGATGTCCCGCGGGCACGTGCGGGGGCACCTGTGCACGCAGATGCTCGTTTCGGGCCCCTCGGCAACACATTCCTGCCCTTGGAAGAGCCACGCCGCGTTGCGAAGCGCTCGCACAGCTACCCGGGGTACGTGCCGTACGTTTTCGAGAAGGTTCTCAGTGAGCTTGAATTAGCGCGTGTTCGCGGAGGCGGTGGTTCGCCGAGGTCGTCCGAGCACGCGGCTAGGGCCGCGTGCATACCAGCGGTGAACAGCCTCCTGGGGGTGCCGGCAGCCAGCCGCCGTGTCGTCATCGAGGCAACCGTGGAGGGTCAGAGTGCGTTCCCCTCTACGGGGGTGGCATGGTTGCCCGTGGCGTACCCAACGGCGGGCCGGATGCGCCGCTGGGAGGCGGAGCAGGTAGCGGCGGCGTTCGGCGGCCGCTTCTGCACGTTTTTCAACCGCAACAACTGCGAGCGTTTTCCGTGCCCGTACGTTCACGTGGTCGGAGCGGGTCGAACAGGTGGTCGTGGAGGCCAACGTCGCTGAGCTCTCGTGTTCGGCCCGCCTTTGCGAAAGCCATGGCGGTGCACACAGCACTGGAGGAGCCATTTTTCTGTGCGGCTAGTTTGCGGGCGCGGACATCTGAAGAACGCTTCCCGCCCAGACTGCAGTACCCCTTCCTCTCGCCTCGCCTCGCGTCGCATGTGTTGCGTATGTCTGGTGTGGGCAGGTGTGTCTGTTCCGGAGCAGTAGGCCCAGGCGGCTGTTGTATCATATTTGTCGGGGGGCAAGCGTGCACGACAGACGCGCGTGCTTGTCGCCCATGTCGCAGAGAGCGGCGGGGTGATGGGAGCCGATGGTTCAGCGGGGGAGGGGAGTGAATAGGGAGAGACCGCGGGAAGGAAAGAGAGAGTGGGAGAGGGAGAGGTTGGGCTGCGATCTGGCGTGTCCTTTGCTTCCGCCGTTCTCTGTCGAGGGCTTCGTGAGACTTGGCGGACCCCATTTCTGGAGATTTCCGTTCTCGCGCATGCGACTCGCCAACAGAGGCGTCGCACGTGACATATGTACCATAGCGATCGATTGGTGGGCGGCGAGAAGGGCCGCTCACTGTCCGAGACGCCGTCCTTGGCTCCCGCCGTTCTCTGTCGTGGCCTTCGGGAGACTCGGCGAACCCTTTCTCTGGAGATTTCCGTTCTCGCGCATGCGACTCGCCAACAGAAGCGTCGCACGTGACATGTGTACCATAGGCGTCGATTGGCGGGCGGCGAGAAGGGCCGCCCACTGTCCGAGACGCCCGCGAAGAGGCGGAGAGCGCGCTTCCGGCTGGCATCCGAAACATATGCAGTGGGTGTCTGCCGCCGATGTGTGAATAAACCCTCATAGTCATCTGCATGACCGCCGGCGCTCACATGCCCTGATGTCAGTGGCGAGGCGGGAGCGGCGAACAGGGCCCCGGGAACGGCCCAAGGCGCTCCCCCCTTCGCCATCGCCGTGGAGAAGAGCCCCGAGGGGACCTCCTCCTCCTCCCTCTTCCCTCCTCTCCCTCCCCCTCTCCCCTCCCTCCTCCTTCCCCCCCTCCCCTTCTTCCTCCTCGGCCTCCGTGCCCCCAGTGACCCACGGGCTCCGGGAACGGTCCAAGCGGCTCCCTCCTTCGCCGTCGCCGTGAAGAAGAGCCCCGAGGGAAAGCAAGAGCTCCCAAGAAGGCGCGAAGTTATCCACGCTTCGCGCTTTGCGGCCCTCCTTCCTCCTCCCCTCCTCCTTCCCCTCCTCCTCTGCACCTTCGGGGCGGCGCGAGAGCGCTAAGTTGTTCCCGCTTCGTGCAGCGCGAAGCGTGAAGTTTGGGGCCCTGAGGGAAAGAAGATCATGGGGCGGCTCGCCGTTCGGGCCGAGCTTGCTGCACGTTGAACCAGCACAAACACGTGCGAGTAAAAGCACGCCGCCATCTAGCTTCATGGCGCGACCGGGGGTATCGTGTCGTCATTTATTGTGACGTTCTGGCCTCTGGCACACCCACGTTGGGAGATGTTGGCTGTCGCCCAGCGGGTGTTACAGGCACTGCCCACCTTCTCTCCTCTCTTCTCGCTTTCCTTGGGATAGGCCTCCATCTCGTGGGGTTTTTCGAAAAAGCGGGACGAGGCGAAGAGCGGCGACAGTTGCACATGTGGCAGCCCCAGGGCGACGACGACGCCGACGGCGACGACGACGACGACGGCGACGACGACGACAACGACAACGACCATGCTGATGACGAGGGCGACGATGACGACGACGGCGGCGGGGCGGCCGACCAACCGGAAAGTTCGAACTTTCCGGTCGGCCGTCCGCCCGGCCGTCGACCGTGATGATGACGATGATGACGATGACGATGATGACGACGACGGCGGGGCGGCCGACTAACCGGAAAGTTTGAACTTTTCGGTCG